AAAGTTTAAAAAAATTATAAACTTTAGAATCAATTGAAATATACGAGCTTTAGTTGTTGTTAAATTGCTTTTGAGAGTTAATTCTATTGAGTGTTTTGTGAACAAATTGGATTATATATGTTGTTACTAATTTTAGAGAAAATTAATTACAAACTTCAATTATTATTCGTTTTTTGCACAGTTTTAGTTTTAGGTGAATATCTTGAAAACCAACTAAGTTATTTGCAATAATGAAATTGCTTATGTAAGCTAATTCTATAAAGTATTTAATGTATGTATTGATTTAATTCGGGTAGTACTAGTTTTTGAGTAAATTGACATGAACTTGTCTTGCACATATTCCTTCTTCGGACCTACTCTTTTCTTCTTACCGTCGCCGTTCTCCTCCAGCTTACGTTTTCGCATGTTCTTCGGCATTTCTTCACTGGTAAAAAAACAACAATTTTCAGGGACACCACAATCTTATGAAGTTACCTCCAAATTACTAATTACACTATCGAAGCAAAAAGTTTAAAAAAATTATAAACTTTAGAATCAATTGAAATATACGAGTTTTAGTTGTTGTTAAATTGATTTTGAGAGTTAATTCTATTGAGTGTTTGGTGAACAAATTGGATTATATATGTTGTTATTAATTTTAGAGGAAATTAATTACAAACTTCAATTTATTCGTTTTTTGCACAGTTTTAGTTTTAGGTGAATATCTTGAAAACCAACTAAGTTATTTGCAATAATTAAATTGCTTATGTAAGCTAATTCTATAAAGTATTTAGTGTATGTATTGATTTAATTCGGGTAGTACTAGTTTTTGAGTAAATTGACTTGAACTTGTCTTGCACATATTCCTTCTTCCGACCTACTCTTTTCTTCTTACCGTCGCGGCTCTCCTCCAGCTTACGTTTTCGCATGTTCTTCGGCTTTTCTTCACTGGTAAAAAACAACAATTTTCAGCACAACAAAACTGTCAAAAACGCAATGTGCTTTCCAGGGACACCACAATCTCATGAAGTTACCTTTTTCAAGATATTCACCTAAAACTAAAACTGTGCAAAAAACGAATAAATTGAAGTTTGTAATTAATTTCCTCTAAAATTAGTAACAACATATATAATCCAATTTGTTCACCAAACACTCAATAGAATTAACTCTCAAAAGCAATTTAACAACAACTAAAGCTCGTATATTTCAATTGATTCTAAAGTTTATAATTTTTTTAAACTTTTTGCTTCGATAGTGTAATTAGTAATTTGG